GGTCATAAAAGTAAAAGTACTATTGTGAGCAACAAAAGGCAGGAGCCATTATCGCCCTCTTCCTTAAGGGATATGGCACAGAGAGGAAGAAAGAGAAAAAGAGAAAGAGAGAGAGAGAGAGATAACTGGTTTTCAAAACAGACGTAGCAACAAATAGAGAGAAAATGAGAGAGATGTCAAGTCCAGTGGTACATGAGTTGTTTTTAATGCCCGCTATTTAGGAATTCCATTGACGACAAGAATGTACTTTTTTTTTATCTTCATGCTCACGCTATAAGCGAAAAAAGATGTGTTATCACGATCAAAATTTCAGATAAAAATACAGGTTCGACCAATACGAATGAAAGTGTCGTGAGTATGAAATCTATAAGAAAAAAAATATGGGAAAGGCAAGGAACAAAGTGTAGTTTTAAATGACAAATACTTACGTTACTGCTGTTTTTAATAACTCTTGGGTCAGAAGAAACTTGAAATATTTGATCGCTCCTTCAAGTTCACCTCTCCTCAGTTTATCGGACCGAGAGAGATTTTTTAACGCCAGTCTCATGAAAGGTATTTTATAAAAAAATGAAATGCATATATATATATATATATATATATATATATATATATATATATATATATATATATGAAACGTTGACATTATATATATATATATATATATATATATATATATATCAGATGAATTAAGTGAAAAGGATAATCCAAGTGATTCTTTTTTATATAAAATATTAAAATTAAAAAGGTAGATCCGTATAGAGCTCAATATATCGAATAGAGTGCAATATGATATAGATCAAGGAAAAGCAACACACACACACACACACACACATATATATATATATATATATATATATATATATATATATATATATATATTATGATTCAGTATTATTAATTTCACTGTGCAAGATTCTAAAGTCTTATTCTCTTTCGCTCCCAGTATCTCCTTTTTCATGTTAGTATCATTATCACTTGAGCTGAATTCATTATATATATATATATATATATATATATATATATATATATATATATATATATATATATTCATGAATTATTCACTAAAAAACAAAAGCAAAGGTTAATGATTTAATTGGCGAGAAATCCATCATCGCAAACAATTCAAATAATATACAAAAACCTCCGAATCCGTTATGAATGAAATGATCCCTGTTTCCATAAATTTCTGCCGTATTAGTTCTTTTTTTTTTTACTACAAGCTTTCGTCTGTTCCTACAGACATCTTCAGGTATAGAATAGATGTTATTCATATTTTTTTTCTCTTAGTAATAAAGAGGACAACGAAAATATATGTATTGTTGTATCCGAAAATGCTATTGAAAATGAGTTATTGTTTTTGGAGCGCGCAGTAGCAACGCTGAGTTTGATTTAAAATTTTTAAAGGTTGTGCGTTCATATAAATATGGTGATGAACGAATTTTTTACTGGTAAATTTTCTGTAATTATTGAACAATATAGTTCATGCCACTTTGACAGAATGTCCCACTAGCAAACTCAGTAACCTAATAGACATAATATTGCAACCATATACTAAACAAATTAAAAGCCACATTAGAGACGATATCCATTTCCTTAGTTGCATACCACAAAAGGTAGATCCGGGAACGCTTATGGTAACTTTTGATATTAGTAGCCTATACAGTAACATACCCCATGAACTAGGAAAAAAAGCGATCTCATTCTGGATTGAAAAACATCCAGAAATACTACATCCGAGATTCACTAAAGAGTTCATTATCGATAGTATAGACCTAATTCTAAACAATAACACCTTTGAATTTGACAACGAAAACTATATCCAAACCCTAGGTACTGCGATGGGAACAAAAATGGCACCAACATATGCCATCCTAACATTAGCTTACCTAGAAGAAAACCTCTATGAAAAGATAGAACAAATATATGGGGCAAATATAAAACCCCAATTCACTAAATCTTGGAAAAGATACCTAGATGATTGCTTCATCTTTTGGAAATCATCATGGGGTGATATTAACGAATGCCATACACTACTTCAAAACTTACACCCAAAAATCAAATTCACGCAAGAATATAATTTTAACGAATTACCATTTTTAGATATACTCATTAAAAATAAAATAACCACATAATCACAGATATCTACCACAAACCCACAGACACCCAACAATACCTTCATTTCAAGAGCCATCACCCAAAAAGCTGTCTAAAATCCATCCTCTATTCCCTAGCACGTAGAATTTGTACAATAGTGACTGATAAACATCTCCGAAAAATCCGCTTAGAAGAACTACATAAAACTCTCAAGAAACGAGGCTACCCCACAATACTAATAAACAAAGGTATTGAACTCGGGAAAGAAATTCCTGTAGACCAACTTAGAAATAAAAAGAAACGTAACGTCGAACAAACTCTAGCATATGGCTCAACGTACAACAAAAACAATCCAGAAATATTCCCAGAAATCACAAAAAATCTAGATTTACTTAGCAAGAATAATAAACTGAATAATATACTAAAAACAACCAAAATAATTAAGAGCAAACGCCAATCTAGAAACCTAAAACACATGTTAACCTCATCTAAATTTAACCAACACAAAATACAGGGAGTCAGAAAATGCAACAAAAAAAGATGTGGGGTTTGTGACATCATTATAGAAGGAAACTCCTACACATTTGAAACCCAAAAAAAATTCACAATAAATAAAAACTTAAACTGCAACTCCAAATATGTAATTTATGTAATTTAAATGCACAAAATGTAGGAAGTCATATATAGGCATCAGCCAACAACTGAACAACAGGGTCTCCCTACACAAAAGCAATATAAAATTGACAGACAACAGAAAACTTTTTGTATCACAACACATTTTCAAATGTAACCAGGGTAAATTTAATATCATGCCGATATATCAAACAGACAATTACTCGTATCTACAAATACAGGAAAAAAACTTTATAGACAAATTTAAACCCGAACTAAATAGATCGTAACCCCACACACAAAAACACACAACATGCACACAGGGTGACCAAATACAATGATCAAATCGCTCGCATACATGGACGCACACTCATATACGGGAGACACGAGGAGGAATATATATATATGTATGTACACATACATACATACATTTATGTATGTATATGCGGATGTTGACAACTTAAGAAGTACGTGTGTGTGTGTGTGTGTGTGTGTGTGTGTGTGTGTGTGTGTGTGTGTGTGTGTGTGTGTGTGTGTGTGTGTACTGGTTCCATGTAGCTTGGGAAATATGTGTGTATATGTGTATATATATAAATATGTGTGTATATGTGTATATATATAAATAGTATTAATAAAATATATATATATATATATATATATATATATATATAGTATCAATAATATATATATATATATATATATATATATATATATATATATATATATAAAGGTTGTCACGTAGTTAATTGATGTTATATTCAGCCCCACCGACTCTGGAGTTTCGTATATATTGAAAAGGTTATAGCTGTTACAACGAGAGAAAAATGTATGTTTTAAAAAGAGATAAACCAAAAACGTTTTGGTTATAATGTGGATTTGCTTTAGTGTATAGATTATATTTTGGTCTTCATATGAAGAATAGAAATATATTTTTTATTCTTTATATATATATATATATATATATATATATATATATATATATATATATATTAGGGTTATGACTTTTGCAAAATAATTGATTTCCTATATTATAATACGATGAAATTTTGTTAAAAAATTAAAAAATATTGAATAAGGATTTAATTCAGCTTTTATTTTAATTTCACCCCCACTCCTAACATGAAATTTATAAAATCATATATAAGCATCTAGAACCTTCTAGAATTTCCTGGAACCTCCTAGAACTTGTGTTTATATTTAAGCTTGTATGTTATTCTATAGCTATAAATTGTTAAATGCATTAAAATATACATAAGTACGATCCAATTACCAGAGTTATCTGTTTTATAAATTTAAGGTGGGCTTCCACACAGGCGCATTGTCACCGAATACATCAAGCCTTTGAATATCTGAAAATTTGCAAGAAAAAAAGGAAAACAACGCTTGAAATGGTAAAAGTGATTGCCAAGAATCATCCAGTCGTGGATGAAGTTCGTTCAGAAACCTGGGCGAAGATACACTTGTGATAAAAAAACAAAGTGAGGATTTATCAAGTCGATGTATGTCCCGTATCAAGAGAAAAAAAAATTAAATCCATCTTTGTCAAGCCATGAAATCTTAAAGTTTTCAATAAGGAAGAAATGTCGAAAGAATAAGACGTCGAGTCCTAAATCAAGAAGCGAAATATATGATACGATCAGAAATCTTTTTAAAAGACATCTATAAAGGAAAATTAATGCTATTGGCAACAGTGCATGAAGACTGATTTTTTTAAACATTCATTTTGATACCAACGATGTCTGCCTGACGAATGGAGCAAATATTTGGTGGTGTGGCTAATTTGGGAAATCTCCCTCACAGGTTGAGCCATCGACAAGACGGAAGTGTTGTGATGTTTTAGAGCAGCGATTCGTAAACTATTTTTCTTCTGGGCTGCATTTTCGGAATGAACATTTGCTCGCACTTCACTAAATTTCATGTGATAAAAAGTGCATTTAAAAATAAAAACAAAGAGAAGGTTAAAGAGAAAAAACGCGGTTTCGAAATCAGAACATTATCATTGATAACTCTCTACATCAATTTGCGGACCCTAGTTACTATATTCTTAATACTTGATATAATGCAAAAATATCACAGTGATAAAATCAGTCAATAATTATTTCTAACTTTTTATACTGGGACTCATGGATGCAATTACAAGTAATCCATAATAATATATGAAATTTTGAAATCATATTTATTTTTGGATACTGAATTTTTGGAAACTGTTTCTAAATCTTCGATTGTCTTTCAATCATTCTGCCTCGCCTGCTATCCTCTTCCGCCTCACCTGCTATCCTCTTCCGCCTCATCAGCTGTCCTCTTCCGCCTCACCTGGTATCCTCTTCCGCCTCACCTGCTGTCCTCTTCTGCATCACCAGCTGTCCTCTTCTGCCGCACCTGCTATCCTCTTCTGCCTCACCTGTTATCCTCTTCAGCCTCACCAGCTATCCTCTTCAACCTCACCTGCTATCCTCTTCCGCCTCATCAGCTGTCCTCTTCCGCCTCACCTGCTATCCTCTTCAGCCTTACTTGCTATCCTCTTCTGCCTCACCAGCTGTCCTCTTCTGCCGCACCTATCATCCTCTTCCACCTCACCTGTTATCCTCTTCAGCCTCACCAGCTATCCCTTCAGCCTCACCTGATATCCTCTTCCGCCTCATCAGCTGTCCTCTTCCGCCTCACCTGCTATCCTCATCAGCCTCACCTGCTATCCTCTTCTGCCTCACCAGCTGTCTTCTTCTGCCGCACCTGCTATCCTCTTCCGCCTCACGTGCTATCCTCTTCTGCTTCACCTGCTGTCCTCTTCAGCATCACCTGCTATCCTCTTCAGCCTCACCTGCTATCCTCTTCTGCCTCACCAGCTGTCCTTTTCTGCCGCACCTGCTATCCTCTTCCGCCTCACCTGTTATCCTCTTCAGCCTCACCAGCTATCCTCTTCAGCCTCACCTGCTATTCTCTTCAGCCTCACCTGCTATCCTCTTCCGCCTCACCTGCTATCATCTTCTGCCGCACTGTTTGCGAACCAATTCGAGTAAGCCCTTCTACATTCAGAGCCAAACAGTATTTATTCATGTCAGTATCCTTCAATAACAGTCGGCGTTTTGTTCATGTTCCTTACTAACAATTTATTTCACATTCCTCCATGACATTTTCTTTTCACAGGTTAACAGAGAGAGTTTTAAAGCGAAATAAACGCGGATTCGAAATCAGAACATTATCATTGATAAATCTCTCCTCCAATTTGCGGACTGTAGTTATTATATTTTTAATACTTGATATAATGCAAAAATATTACAATTATAAAATCAGTCTGTAATTATTTATAACTTTATATGCTGGGACTCATTCTTGCAATTACAAGTAATCCATAATACTGTTTTAAATTTTTGAAATCATATTTATTTTTGGTATATGAATGTTTTGAAACTGTTTTTAAATCTTTGTCTTTCAATTATTCCGCATCACCTGCTATTCTCTTTCGCCGCACCTGTGAGGCGCGTCACACCTACATGACGCGCGGTGCTGTTTGGGAAACATTGTTTTATAAGAATTATACGATTGGTTCATATCAAATTATTCGATTGGTTCATATCAAATTCCAAATTACAACTCACGCGTACATTGATGTTTTGAAAGCGGAATGATAGAAGAGGGCAAATGTCTTCAGAAAGAAGTCTCCTTTTTTTATCTTTTTTTTTTTTAAATGCTCTATTTTATTCGGCGAAGAAAACTTAGCAAATATTGCAATAAAATTGTTCACCTAACAAACATTTTCAGAACGAACTGTTACTAATTCTAAAGAGGTTTACATTGGCGAACGTTAATTTAACAGCAAATATGAACTTTGGAATGTCGTTTTGAATAATTTATAATTTTTTTATAATTAAAATTAAACAGGATAAAAAATGGATGGTCGAATAGCTTTTCAAATTAGTTTCAGAATAAGAGACACATTTCACATCAATGGTTTCTTTATAACTTTGTTGTCATTACAATAAAAATCGTTTTAAATCTTTATGAGAAAACTTCACAAAATTAATGAAATGTCTTCACAAAAAGAAATATCTTCGCAAACTTAAAAAAATGTTTTATGCATTCACTCCATTGAATGAATATAACACAATCATGAAATATAATATCGCTTGGAGTCGACGTAGTCTTACTGAATTCTGTAGTAAGCATGTAAGGCTCGCTCCCGGCTAGCTCTCTCCTAACAATTCCCGGCGTCAGTAAATATACGGTTTGGACGAGTCCAAGACATATTCCGGTAAGGAGTGTTCATCTCCACACCCACCCCACATTTTAGATATGCACTTTTACGTAGTCGATACTTTTTTCCGACGTGGGTCCACTTCCAGCGTTTTAGTCGGATTACGTTTTCGCTTACCCTGACGTTCTATTGTAATATTAGTTTTAGAAATAGTTAATGTATGTTAATCGGTGAATTAAATTGTGCTGGTTGCTTATTCTGTGTATATCTAGACCTCGATTGATTTATATGTCTTCTATAACAAAATCATCCACCTTCGACAATGTACATCATACTGCCAAGGCGTTGAATATATTTTTCCTTCCTGCCAATTTCCTTTGCGGCTTTAAAGCTTTTAAAGAAGATTTTATCGCCTTTCTTAAATGATTTGGCAGTTTCAAATTGTTTTTATTCCTTGGCAGTAATTTGTTGAAAATGGATCTGAGCTCAGCAGATAACATTTTCGCGGTGACGTTTACATTTTACGTCATTCGATATACGCTCAAAAATTATTGTAGTGCTGTTTCTTGTCCGATATTCCTCTTGAAACTTTATCGCTTTTTAGGGTTTTTTTTCAAGTTAGTCTTGCCAATTCTGTTTCAAGTTTGTTTATCAATAATTGTAATATCACTACTATTGTACAATTGAAATCTCACCTTAACGTTATTCATTTCTAATGTCGTGAATTTTCTATTATTTGAACTTTCCAATTTTTTTAGCTAGTAGCACTACTTTCAGCAAGTTACTTTGTGCATTTCTTTTGATTTTCGACTTCCAGTACATTCGTTTGTGGCCAGTTTTTCGACAGTTAAAACATTTTTTGGCTTTAAATGGAGTCCATTCTGAAATGAAGCTTGCCACAGCCATAGCTTGGGTTTAGTTTGACAGCATTTTTATTTCAGAGTTTTTTCTTTTGGTACTACTGTCTTTTTTTTAGAACTACTTGTACTTCTGACTTGCCATCGTGTTCGATTTTCGCTGTATCGTGCCTTAAATTGACATTGTTGGCACTCTTCCGCAACAGTCTATATCGTTAACGTTGAATCCTGTTTAAGTTTTGTAAGGATTCGAGGGCGTATTTCCGCATCGTTACTTGATGTTAAACCTTTTACGAAGATTAGTCATTTATCTCTGTCTGGGATAGTTCGTCCAGTTTAAATTTCTCATACTCACGGTTAACTTTACCGGCATATGCGACAAAATATTCATCTTCGTCCGTAATAAGGTTCATGCAATGCCAACGTCTATACAAAAGTGAATTCTTTTCACCATAAAGTTTTGATAATATCGACAATTTTGCTAAATAACACATTTTCTGGGGTATTTGGCAAAATGAAATTCAGAAATATTTCATGATCAGCGGGGCACAATTTTCGTCCAACCATCAATGACATTCTTCTCTGAAAATGGAATCGTACCCTCTGAAGTACGATAAGAATGCTGGGACGTAATTAAATTCACTAAATTAGTTAGCGACTGAGTCCAGAGACAATGAAAGAAAAGGAGAAGACTCCAGTGAGAAAAAAGGAGGCTTCAAAAAGTGAGAAAAAAGTGGGGCTTCAAAAAGACAAAAGATAGCGATTGACGTTGCATTTAATCTTTTGAAAATCGTAAGTGGCAGAGAAGCAAGAAAATGGAAGAGAGTTCCACAGGCGAGAAGTACGAAATAGGTTTTTCAACTCCAATAGCTGTTATCGCTCTTTCTAGTATTGATGGGATGGGAGTTTCCTTCTTAATCTTTTGTTTGAAGTGGTGTGAAATGTCAACATATTGGTTATGTCATTATATTCTCTTCAACTTACATGTGCTATCCATTTTAGTTGTTGCTGCTGTTGGTAGTCCTCAACTGATGTGGTTTCTGTTATTTGGTAAAGTTCTTTTCTTTTGTGATTCTGTAGCCATAACGGCTACTGGAGTTGAAAAACCTATTTTCCTGAAAAATTGTTTAAGAGAAATATTTTAAAATTCAACCGAAAGCAGTACCGACTGGTCGGTCAATGAATGTCAAATGTTTCCTTATAGGGAAACGGCCAACATTACTATTACCATTACCAGAGGAAGAACCACGTAGAGTTAAACATTCATGACCCGGTATGGAAGGACATAGCATACATAAACTCCTTAAAATGTTTATAAAAAAATATACAAATTAATGTAAATTTTTGATTTTTAAAAACCCCATACATTTGAATGTGAAAGATTTACTCACACTACTATAAAGTTCATTTGCAAAATAAATAATGTGGTCAAATAATTTAGAGACACACTAATTTTCTGTCAGGTTTATAAGCAAGAAAAATGGATTGATTAGTCAAAACTTATTTGTAGTTGGTGTTGTGAATGGTAACAGTGTAAAAATGTAGAATATTAAATAATTTGGCTAAATACATGAAAGCCATTGAACTACCATTTTTTATAAGTAAACACCGCGAAGGGAAACGTGAAAATACTGAAAAGTTGATTCCTCAACAGTAATTTTCGTAATGAATATAGAGCTACATTGATGTGACCTTTTCCAAGAGCTTGTTTAGAAGATATATGAATTGAATATTTGAAGTTTTATACGCATTATATTTATCTCTATCAAGTGTGTTGGTATGTTTGTTTTTTTTTTATTTAAAGTTTATACAAATAGAGGCGCATAGTTACGTGGAGTGATTTATACCAATCCTCAAATCCGTTCTACTATCCTTGGTAAAGTGCTTGTGACAAAAATTTCTCATGATATCTGGTGTTGAATGAGAGTGTAGGGAATTGATGCTCCATGCCTTTATACAAGAGCAATATGATTATAAGCTGGCACAATCAGAATTCGTAATTTATTTGCCACTCCTTTTTTTTCTGTGTCGGTAACAATTACGCTCGTCAAATATGAATAATGGATAGAAAATAATTTCTTCCTAACCGTCTAATAGGAAATAGCGTGACTGAACATATAAAGATATAAAAATCTGAATAAAAATTTTTAAAAAATGTATAAATTTTGGTGATCATTGGATTAGTAGCTATTTGGGGGAAATGACTGAATCGAGTTTTCACGACAATTCATCCATCTCCAGATCTGTGGCTTAAAATCAAATCCTGTCTCTGGAATATCTAAAAAAAAAATAATTAAAATTGTTAAATAAGCTTTGGATAATGACAGTAGTATAATAGCTGCTATATTCATTGTAATTTATGAGATTGCCACTCGCAAGCTTACTCGGTAACGGGTCCTTTAACTTAAGCCGGTGAAAAAATTAATTTCACTGGAAGATACATTTAAGAAGACATATTGGTTATTCAGTTCTTTAGAGTATATTTTATTTTATTTTTGTTTTCCTTCAGGTTCATGTCGGAAAACACATTCCTTTCAGATTACGTTAATTGTCCATTCTTCTTTATGAGAATTCTTTTGCGGTAGAAAACAATAAAGAATGAAAACAAATATGTCCGAACGTCTCCGCTATGTTTGTTATGTCGTCGTTATTGATCACGCTTAAACGACAAGACAACTTGAAGAGACAAACACAACAATATCGACAAAAATAAAAATAATAATAAATCATGGTAGCCCATGCCTTAAAGAAAACACGTATAGCTCACACATTATGAAAAGATTTATCTATGTAAAATGTGTGTGATCTTAGGTGTTTTTCCCTAAAAAATGATCAGAGGAAAGTATGAAGCCATTTTTAAGCATAGGATTGGGACCCGGAAGGAAATGTGTATACAACAGAAATCCAATAATAATAATAATAATAATAAATGGAAGATCTAAAACCTCCAACACCACCAAAATAATAACGGACAACTTCATTCTCCTACTTTCAGTGAAATAATTTTCGGAGATAAAATTCACAAACTACAGAAAAATAGTAAATGTCGCCTTTATGAAGAAAGAAACAAGATTGTAAATAACATGAAAAATGTTTGTAACAAGCAAGAAATATACAATTAAAAAGACATCTAGACATATCACCCCATCCAAACGAGTAAAGCTCCATGCAGAGCACCCAAACCAAGCAAGAAAAGATACAGGCAGAGCACCCAAACCAAGCAAGAAAAGATACAGGCAGAGCAACCCATCCAAGAGAGAAATGATCCAGACAGAGCACTCCATCTAAGAGACAAAAGAACCAGGCAAAGCACCCCATCCAAGAGAAAAGATCCAGACAGTGCACCCCATCGAAGCGAGGAAAGATCCAGGTAAAGCACCCCATCCAAGCGAGGAAAGATCCAAGCAGAACACCCCATCCAAGCGCGAAAAGATCCAGGCAGATCACATCATCCAAACGAGTAAAGATCCAGGCAGAGCACCCCATCGAAGCGAGAAAAGATCCAGACAGAGCATCCAAGAGACAAAAGATCCAGACAGAGCACCCCATCCAAACGAGAAAAGATCCAGGCAGAGCACCCCATCCAAACGAGAAAAGATCCAGGCAGAGCACCCCATCCAAACGAGAAAAGATCTAGGCAGAGCACCTCATCCAAACGAGAAAAGATTCAGGCAGAGCACCCCATCCAAGCGAGAAATGATCCAGTCAGAGCACCCCATCAAAGCGAGAAAATATCCAGGTAAAGCACCCCATCCAAGAGGGAAAAGATCCAGGCAAAACACTCCATCCAAGCGAGACAAGATCCAGGCAGAGCACCCCATCCAAGCGAGAAAAGATCCAGGCAGAGCACCCCATCCAAGCGAGAAAAGATCCAGGCAGAGCACCCCATCCAAGAGAAAAATATCCAGGCTGAGAACTCCATCCAAGCGAGAAAATATCCAGGTAGAGCACCTCATGTAAGCGAGAAAAGATCCAGGAAGAGCACTCCATCCAAGCGAGAAAAGCTCCAGGCAGAGCATCCCATCCAAGAGAGGAAACATCCAGGTAGAGAACCCCATCCAAGAGACAAAAGATCCATGCAGAGCACCCCATCCAAACGAGAAAAGATCCAGGCAGAGCACCCCATCCAAACGAGAAAAGATCCATGCAGAGCACCCCATCCAAGAGTATAAAGATCCAGGCAGAGTACCCTGTCCAAGAGAAAAGATCCAGGCAGAGCGCCACAGCCAAACGAGAAAAGATCCAGAGCATACCATCCAAGCGAGAAAAGATCCAGAAAGAGCGCCCCATCCAAGAGACAAAACATCCAGGCAGAGCACCCCATCCAAGCGAGAAAAAATCCAGGCAGAGCACCCTATCTAAGAGAGAAAAGATCCAGGCATAGCACCCCATCCAAAAGGGAAGAGATCCAGGCAGAGCACCCCATCTAAAAGAGAAAAGATCCAGACAGAGCACCCCATCCAAGCGAGAAAGGATCCAGGCAGAGCACCCCATCCAAGAGAGAAAAGATCCAGGTAGAGCACATACACATCTCATACAAGCGAAAAGAGATTCAGAAACTATCTTCATCTAGGCGAGAAGAGATCAAAACAATAATCTTCTCAGTGTGAAGCTATCCAGAAGGACTATACATATCCAAACAAAAAGTAACCCTAACAGAGTATCTCATCAAAGCGAGAATATATCAAGGCAGACCATTCCATCCAAGTGAGAAAATTGTCTTGAACTTTGTAATTATTGCATGATAAATATATTCTTCGTTGCAGAAAGTAAATCTCTTAGTTTAGGATAAGGCAACAACTGAAGACGAAAAATAATTTAAATCATCCAAATATCTCATATTTCGGATCTTTCAATCTCATTCTGGTAGACGACCCATAAAAGAATTAAAATAAGGACCAACCATTTACTGCCGACTTCAAAGCCCTACACATACGCTTCCATCGATGTTACCTCCCCACTCTTTTCATTGTACGATTGCATTATTATAACTGAGGTGCCCAAGATCACAATTATCGCACGTATCCAAACCATCCTCCGCAAGATATACACATGTCTGGCAAGTTTTGCGGTTTGTTTCCCTGTCTATGAGTCAATGAAATAAAACCTTCAACTCCTGAGATGTCTTTCACTACTAGACAATTTTATTTTTATTCCCCACCAGCCACAGAGAAATTGTACATATTGGAACTAGTTAGGACTTCATGGAGACTTTGAGGGGTTATAGTGGCTGTAGTAAAAATGGTAAGGAAGAATGTGTTGTTTTGGTGTAATGAATACTGTTCTATGTTTTGGTCAGTAAAGACAGATTGAAGACCAGCCATCCCTCATCCCCCTTTTTGGCCTTGAGGTACATTTTGTATTTTTCGAAATAAATATTAGTTTCACTACCAGACAACACAAGATCCTGATTTTAAAAAAAAAAGGTAGTTTTTTCTCCCTTTCTGAAAACCTCAGAACTTGTGTTGAACAGGATGAAGTGTTGTGAAAACCGAGTTTCAATTTAAAAGAAAAAAGAAAAAAACTATATTTTCAATTCTGAAATGCAATTATAAACGCCTTCTTATATTCTCGTTCGCAAAAGCAAATTTCACTATTGAACTCGTATTTTTCTCTTCGTATTTGTCTTTCCATCACATGCCAACATTTTATGACAGTCTTAAATTCTTCTTTATTATTTCCGGTTCTCTATTACCGTCCATTATTTTATAACAAATTTTTACGACATTTTAATAATGGATCGGAATTCAACAAAAGCAGCCAAGATGGACGCATCTGCGGCAAAAATGCCTACGCATATTGTCGATTATTAATAGCTACACACTCAAACTTTCAAACTTTCGGTTCTACTCTCTGTTGATCATCCTTTTATGTTCTTTTCTCTCTACTTTTTTTTTTTTTTTTTTTTTTTTTTTGGGGGAGCAGGGGGGACAGCCTATTGAAACGCGATGACTATCCAATTTATTTTATATGACCAAGTAGTGAGTTAATTCATAACATGTTGACTGTCAGGGGTCAATTCTGAAATCTAACTTCAAATACCAACTTTATAATAGCCAACTTAGGCAATAAAAAAAAATTTCACAAGTTGATTTATTGCTTCAACTGAAGTCACTATTCGGATTATTATCCTCATCTTTGTCGCAATATATATTACAACTGAGCAAACGTTTCGGCCATTGTACGCTCCGGCCTTCTTCAGGTGGTTGGAATGTTGAACTGAACCCTTTATTTCGCTCACCGAGGTAGACTGTTCTAGTTCTACGTACCATGTTTAATGGATATCAGTTATCAGTTATTTCCTGTTAATTCCCCTCTCCAAGTTCTCCACTGCCTTAACCGAGTATTGAACTCACACTCTTTGGGTCCTGTCTCTGGATCTAACTAACGCCTTTATCCACTGTGCCATGTGTCCTCGAGGAACTAGAACAGTCTACCCCAGTGAGCGAAATATAGGGTTCAGTTCGACATACCAACCACCTGAAGAAGGCCGGAGCATACGACGGCCGAAACGTTGTAATAAATATGGCGACAAAGATGAGGAAAATAGTCCGAATAATGTACATAATACTTCATCTCTGAAATATAGACAGATACTGAAAGGCCGAAACTTTGTAATAAATATGGCGACAAAGATGAGGACAATAGTCCTATTAATGTACATAATACCTCATCTCTGAAATATAGACAGATACTGAAAGGCGGAAACGTTGTAATAAATATGGCGACAAAGATGAGAACAATAGTCCGAATAATTTAAATAGTGTACATAATACCTCATCTCTGAAATATAGACAGATATAAGAGAAACCCGGATATAAGAGAAATTTTCTTTGGTCCCAAATTAGAGCCTGTGTTAATGTATATAAATTAGACCAAACCCGGATATAAGAGAAACCCGGATGTAAGAGACTTCTTCTCCGGTCCCGACAACTCTCTTATATCCGGGTTACACTGTAGAATCTTATGAAAGTCTAAGCATGATTAAACTAAAAACCTAGCCTGAATAAATAGTGTTGGGATTTTGATCCTCATTGGGGGATCCACTAATAAACTGACTAAGTAATCATACTAAGCTCCTATTATAACTGGTCAGCCAGTCATTTAGATCCGCAGTAGGTTCGTCGCTATTGTTTAGGCTAAGTATATCTTATTAAATAAATAAGATTTATAAAGGAGTAATGATTAGATTATATTAGTCCGTTACTATAGAAGTAAACTCAGGTTTAACAAGGTGACTCATTCTTGTGTCGCTGTGCCAGTTTAAATTAAGTAAATATACTGGGCAACAATGATTTACTCAGACAGTTAAGTGCCACACATGATACATGATCATGTATCTTTCGATACATGACTGACGAGGCAAAAGATTTTTTTTACGCAAGGCAACCCAGTCCTCCCTGCTATTTAATCCAAAGCTGGACAGAGAAGAGATTTAGTCATAGCTTTCCCGAGTGAATTTGTGCGTAAGCGAATATAATGAACACGACAGGAATTCGAACTCGGCTCTCTCAATTCTCATTCCGAGCCGCTATCCATTACACCACAACAAATAAACACTACTAGAATAAAAACATACGTCGAGAACGTTGACTCTAAATCCACTCTCAGAATTGTCCAAACAAGACAATCTTTTGAGATATACACAGGAAATAATCATGCTCATGGCAAATATAATATTACATATTGGCTATCATTAATCTAATATCATTGTCATAAGTAGAGCATCATATAATTTATTTTGCCGGATTACTAATAAATGAGCATTTTTTTTCTTCCTTGCCGTAATTTGCAGATAAGCCAATGCTATGTAAGACGTACAGGTACACAGACATCAGGATTATCTTTTGTTCTCCTTCCTTTTAAAGTTAGACCTTATCTGTTTTGGACAAAGTGTTTGCGCTTCTAACGACGAGAAGACGCCATAACTGGGGATAAACCACAATCAGTTACAATAGAAATCCACAAATATCAAGTAGAACGATGTTTGAAAAGCGCTGAAAAAAAAAAAGCTGACACTGAAGCGAGCGGCACCAAACAGTAGTAGCAGGTCCATGCGGCAAATCAGAAAATCTAAATCTGAGTCATGTGGAAATTAGAACCGGATTACTGATCTCACTGTATTTCTGATTGCCGGATTAATGATAACCAACCTGCAATAGGTTAATCGTATTGTATATAGTATATTTCTAATCAAGCCTAATAGTATAGTAGTAAATAGTAAATACATCAGTTTTCAAGGAAAATATAGATGACGATATACTCGCTTTATATCTTACTGGATCCCAGAAAATCTATTTTCATAGCACTGCCTAAGAAACCAGGCGCAAACGAATGTGAATCAGCCTGATGAGCCACATAAGAAAACTCATCCTCCGTATTCTGATGAACAGAGCGGGTAGTAGAATCAGGCCAGAGATAGGATAAGAACAGTGTGGGTTTGTTAAAGACACCGGAACAAGGAACGTAATATTCATATTCAGAATGTTATCAGAAAGAGCGATACAAATGTAGAAGGAAGTGCACCTGTGTTTTATAGACGACAAAAATGTGTTCGACAAAGTACGCCCCAAAGATCTGACTGAACCTTGATATATTCTGAAAAGATATTAGGATAATCAAGAAGTTATACTGGCAACGAACGGCCTGCATGCAGATAGAGAATAAGTTCAGCAGATATACAAAAATGGAAAGAAGCGTAAGGCAAGGATATATCTTCTCGCCGGACCTATTCAGTCTATACTGCGGGGCAATTTTGAGAGAACTGGAAATCCTACCAGGATTCCTCATTGGCGGCCACAATCTTAACTATATCTTAATAATAACAATATCTTAATAAGATATGCAAATGGCACAGTGCTGATAGCAGACACGGAAAGGAAATTACAAAACCTCTTACTGAAGGTAGCGAAAGAGAGTGAAAATAAGGGACTAAGCATAGAATAAAATAAGACAGAACGCATGGTCATCAGTTTTACAGGTCGGGGACACTAAAATCAAGCAGACGCGGAAATTTAAATATCTGGGACGGTAAGTGCAATTGGAATGGTCATAGACGCTGAGATCTGAAAACGTATTGGAATGATCAAAGAGGCTAAGATTTGAAAACGTATTGGAATGGTCAAAGAGGCTGAGATCTAAAAACGTATTAGAATGGTCAAAGACGCATTTACCATTCTGATCGTTTCTAGCACTCAGATGAATTGTGAAAGATCGTAATGAGATTTCAAGAAGTGCATTTTAACTCATTTCATTTGAGAGAATGACAGCATTGTGTATATTAAATCAGCATAGTTTACAAATCAATGAGGACTAAAAATGATTTGGTAAATCTAACAAGAATAAATCTTATACCACACACACAAGCGAATTCATTTTACCTCTGAACCGTTTAATGAATTGATTCGTTTTCTACCTGTAGATATTATTGTTCCCTTATTAAGGGCAATAAAAAAAGTATATTCAGAATATATGTGCTGTGTTGTTTAACACTACGGAAACAAACATATGTCCCATTAAAATGATAGCTAATTTAATTGAAAAATTTGCTCTATTGATCCCAAGAAAGCCGTGAACATAGTCGTAAACAAATCGGTCTCCAGTTGAAAAATGACACACAGTTGCTAAATACCCAACCCCATAAGCTATCGTGAAAATAACAGAGATTGTCAAATACCCAGCCACGTAAGCTATCGTGAAAATGACAGCAGTTACCAAATACCTAATGACATAAGATATCTGAAAATGATAGCAGTTGCCAAATACTGACCACATAAGATATCATGAACTGACATCAGTTGACAAACACCCAACGATATAATATATTTTGAAAATGACAGCGGCTGTCAAATACCCAACGACATAAGATATCCTGAAAGTAACATCAGTTGCCAATTGCCTAACCCCATCATGTATCATGAAAATATCCCTGCGTGAAAGGTAACCTGTTGGTTTTCCAGATCACATCGTTCTGCAATGAATTTGATTCTCACTCGCTTTCCTGCAATTTGGCGTTAGACAAATTATTACACAGTAAATGTCTAATGCTTTCATTTAGGTCATTTACCATGGCGCCATGTTTAGCAAGATTATCTCATGGACAAATTCCCATGGCAAATGTTCTCACAAGCTACATTTCTTGGTCCAACCAGTTCAGACTTTCACAGCTGGGACTCGACATGCTACGTATACGGACAAACAATCTCCATTCCTTTCATATTCCATTGGTAAAGAGGAAGTTCAATTCGGACAGTTTCTTCCCAAGAACCGCTACTTTGTGGAACAGACTCCCAAGGAGATGCTTCCCCACTCACTATAATCTCAATCACTTCAAGTCGACGTTCAATCGGTATCTTTCTGTTATATACCGTACCTATGAACACAAATGGTTACGTCCCCACCCTCATACGCTGGACAATATTGTAATTGGGGGTAATATGCTAAGTAGTCCACTACTAGAAGTGGTTTATCTGCTTCACGCCGCTGGCGAGTATTGTATTTTGTTGATGTTATAAAGATTACCATTTCAGTTCCAACCTCCGTTTTGGTTATTCCTCATTCAGTAACCTTTTCTAGGTTAAACGCTTTCCCACATATCCTCATAAAAAGCCTCATTCAATAACAATCTATTTTGAGTGGTCCTTGAGCCTTGTGATCAATTACTGACAAATCTCATAGACGTACTCAGAGTAGGATGGCCTTGTGTCAGACTAATCTAATCTTAATACCTTTATCATTTATATCATTCCCTTACAGTAAGTCCTTCTTATTCCCACTTCGCCTTTTTACTCCCACTAACCCTCACTTATCTGTTAACTCTGTCACTCTGTCACTAAATCATCCTTTCATTATTCTTCCAACTCTCTATTCCCTATCTTTTTGCCTCTCCGCTTTTTCTCCCTCCTCTTGTTGATTCTTGTATCATTATACCAAACCACTTTCTGGTTTTCTCTATGTCTCTCTCGTTCCGTGTTTTCTCTCTGATTACACTCACAAATTTTATTATTTATCCTCTTCGGTTTCCACCTTCTGTTTTCTCCATGTATTCATCTTCTTTTATAACCGGACCGACATTTTTTTCTTTTATTTCGCTTCGGTCTTCTTCCTGTCATTATTTCTAATTCTCCAACTATCTTCCCATCCCAAAACGTTCTTTTATATTTCGCTTCTATAATTAATGCCCTTTTTTTCTTATAATCATTAGTGTCTATGAAAAGTGTTTTCGTTTTTTTAATAACTCTTTATTGTCCAATTACATAAGAAGGTTACGTAGTACACTACATGCAGGGCGCGACGGGTAAATTGTCGCCATTTTAGTTTGTTTTTTTTTTTTAATTTATCGACTGCACAGTATAGTAGCTTCTGTTAGAGATCGTCTGTGAGAAAAAGAGCACCATAACACGAATCTGGAAACGACATACTGTACTGTTTTGGAATTCGCACCGGAAGCTTCAGAACGAATATTTCAGTGTGTTTGGGTGTCAATCTGTGAGCAGAGGATTCGGAAAGAACTAGATAAGTCTAATGGTGATAACTACCATGTTTGGAGTGATCACTAGAGATGGCCTCCATTCATATTCTTACAGGGCTTCAAACTCAACACGGAGGCCTACATCAAGCGACTTAAGGAGGTAGTGCTGCCCTGGGTCAAGAAGGTGGATTCTAGAAGCCCTTATGTCTGGCAACAGGACTCTGCACCATGCCACACAAGCTGGAGAACACAGTCATGGCTGTCAGACAATTTCTACGACCACACACCACCTATCTCTCCAGACTGCAACACCCTTAATTATTATGTGTGGTGCTCAGTTGAGTGGGAGACCAACAAAACTCCTTGTAACACCAAAGATGAACTGAAGGCAAGGATTATGACAGCATTCACTAACTTAAACTAGGAGACCGTCCAGAAGAGTTGTAGGAGATTACGATGTCGTCTGGAGGCCGTGATTGAAGCCAATGTCGATTTTAGAAAATAAATTTACTCTTTAGTACTTAAAGTTATTTTGTTGTAATTTTGGTAAATATATCTGTAAAAATTAGATGCCATATATATATATATATATATATATATTTTGATGCTCCTTGATATGAAGAAATTAATATCCCCATATATATATATATATATATATATATATATATATATATATATATATTCGTAGCATTTACTTTTAAAAAGTGCTCAATACAAAAGTAGAACACACACACACACACACACACACATACACACACACACACACACACACATATATATATATATATATATATATATATATATATATATATATATATATATATATATATACAAATAAGAAAAGAACATATGGAGTAAGATTCCACCGTTCGCAGCATTTACTTTTTAAAAACGTGCTCAATACAAAGTAGAGCAATATATTATCATAATATTTTTATTATAAGAGATTATAATAAAAACATTTTGCATCGCTTCACGTTTCAATACTATGATTGTACTTCCTCAGGCGATGGTTGAAAGGAAGTACAATCATAGTATTGAAATGATGGTTGGAAGGAAGTACATAGTATTGAAGCATGAAGGCTGAAGAAGTATAATCATAATATTGAAACATGAATTTTTTTGTGTAGCTAGCGGTGTAAAATGTTTTTATTATAATCTCTTAATAAAAATATATATATATATATATATATGTGTGTGTGTGTGTGTGTGTGTGTGTGTGATGGACACTCCCGTCAATTTTAACGTATGAGGATCCGACAAGCTCATTCAGTTTTTATGATTGTGTCGTATGTGACACTTCAGTCCCACTAGTGACCTGCATACATATTGTGCAACAGTGAGGATCTTGGAACATAGCAACAGGAATATTTGGGGACGTTGTCTTTTGTTCTCTTATGACTGATTTTGAAATTTCTCATACAACTCTGACATATATATATATATATATATATATATATATATATATATATATATATATATATATATATATATATATATATATATATATATACTCAATTTAGCACTTGAAGTTTGCGTTGTGCATGAAACTCAGAGTCGTCCTATCGGTTAAAAAATGTATATTTTTTAACACCAGCACTCAATATATATATATATATATATATATATATATATATATATATATTGAATTTATAGTTTTCTCCCCAGCTATGGGTCAATAGCAGGCCAGACTGCGATCTATAGCTTCGGATGTCAACTGGTCTAGGACAACTCTGAATTCAAAAGGGACCTTGTGGTATTCGGCTCTTCAAAAAGTTATTTGGTTCTGCACAAAGCCTTCACCCCTATCATCAAAATCATGTGCAGGTGTCTGACTGTCGGTTCCTAGGAACTGAGTTGCTTGACCCGCATACGTCGATAAACGTAAGGTATTTATGGGTTAAAGTGAAGTGCTCAATGTCAGGGATAGAGCGTATCTAATTATATATATAAAAGCAAACACTAAGGTCAACATCCATCGGCGAAGGTCTGTTTCATGCTTAAACGCAATTTTCTGTCTGTGTGTGATGTGTTTTGACTAGACTATTTATATAGTTTGTTTTCACCATTTTGTTACACGGTGTGTCGATTTTAGGGTTGTTTCAGCAATACAACCACACAGCATAAAAAATATATTTTTCAACCCGCCGAACAACAAGAACGTAAAAACAAATATAGGAAAAATATTCATTAAACTTCATAGATAAACACTTCCCCCACAACCATGCACTCTCTACAAGATTTTCAACAGAAATACAGTAAACATCAGCTACAGTTGTACCGAGAACATGGCATAAATGATAACAAAGCACAACAGGAAAACAACCAACAAACGAACCGTGGAAATCAAACTCACGTGTAACTGGAGAGCAAAGAACGAATGTCTCTTAAACGGTAATTGCTTGTAAAACAATGTAATATGCCAAGTCACTGTAAAATCAGTAGCGAAGACAAATGTACATAGGAGTAGCTGAAGGACTCTGAAAACAAAAAAACTATACACACAAAATATTCTTAACAAACAGAAAATACGCAAACAGCATAATGCTTTCTAAAAATATATGGGAAATTAAAAGCAAATTACACCAAAAATGTCATGTAAAATAAGTAAAATAGCATCAACCCACAAAAATACATCCCAAAACTGTAAACTTTGTCTCGAGGAGAAAATAGCAATAATTACCTTTTCAGATCAACACAAACTAGTAAATAAATGATCAGAACTCATCTTAAACTGCAGACACCAAAATGAATTTACTACGTTACTTAAAAATCGAAAACTATAAAGCAATACGAATAAAAAGTAAATACAAAATAAAATAAACAAAAATTTAAATAAGTAAACAAATTAACAAACTACGAATGAATGCATAAACACAAGTAAACATAATAAACAAATAATAAAGTAATCAATAATGAATAATAAGTAAAAAAAAAAGAAGTTGACAAACAATATACAGTCTACAATTATAGAATAATTTGAAACATAATCGCTACCGCCAACCCAATAACTGTTAAGATAAAACAATAGACCTTCTATCCTGTAATGCTCCATTGACCAACACGCAATACAAGTGGACTGGTGATAGCGTTTAGGCATGAAACAAACTGTCGCCGCTGGGTGTTGATCTCAACGTCCACTTTTATATTCTATATGGTATAGATAGATATCATGGCAGACCCATGCCTTAAGCGATCATCAGACCATTCATAAAATCGCTATTATTTAATGAAGCAGCACGCTTAAAGAAGAGCATAGAAAAAGCGTTCGACCCAACCTTAAGAAGTTTTGAGGGAGCGTTTCTTGTGAACTAGTTGGAATTTACATACTAAACACATCATATTTCTATGAGAAACTCTAAAATCATATACAGGTAAAGGAATATGACTCAAAGCCATTGTTCTTTTAACAAAATTGATAAAATGTATTTTCACTATATTTTAAGTAAGATGAAAGTAATATAGTCTCAAAATCCAATTAAATAATTGTTGAATTAAATAATCATATTTATACACCAGCTACTTGGAAAATTGCCAATTATATATTTAAAATAGTTTTATCCAGAGATATTAAACATGTTAAAATTGCATGGAAACTGACAGTTAAAAACCTGTATGCAAAATTATTTTTTTCTCTTAAAATTCTTCTATTTTATGTTTTATTAATCATATTTTTTATAACTTAATGATATTTTGCGACTCAAAACAAAATGAATACGCCAAAGAAAATATTTAAATTATAGCAATGTTTTACTTTTTTTAAATGAGAAAGTTCAAGAATATGATTTCCCATTATTTCGCTCCTTCCTGAGATGAGTAACATATGAATTATAACATATACATTTAATTATAATATAAATTTAATTGCCATATAAATGTAAGCGGATATTTCATCACGTACCCAGTAAAGAAAGCTGACTCACTTGACCTTTGAATTAGACACCCGCTTTAAACAAATACCCAACTGGAACAAAGAAAGGCTTCTTTATCTCAACGCCTTCAAAAAGAAACTGCTCTCTTTTAATCGTCCGTAAGAAGCCATTTTACCTTCCATCTGTATGGCTGATGCTAACCTCCAGGATAGTGACTGACACTTTGCACCTTCTCAGACTAACGTTTTCCACTTATATGAACTGAAAAGATTATATCCAATCAATTGCTGCGTCTGCTGCTAGGAACGTTGGTTCACTGTGTCGTACTAGACTATTTTTCTTGACAGAATCTATCTTACATATTTTTTAAGCCTACCATTCGTCTTTGCTTTGAATATTGCAACCACATCTGGTCTCGTGCCTCTTTTAAATATTTAGAGATTCTTACTAAAATCCAAAGAAGAATATGCAATGTTATTGGTTCTGACCTGGCATCTCGCATCTCGCATTTAGTCACTTTGCCACCAACCTAATGTAACTTCCCTGTGCCTTTTTTTTTATAAATTCTTT